CGCCGCCCCACCTCCCAGGTTTCCGGTGGGGGCGACACCTGACACCACACCCTCACATAGAGACATTTATCCGTCAGTCACATATTCACCCCATGATCTTGCATTTATAAACCAGACTTTACTAGATTCATTTATTAATGCTAAACATAACCCGGACTGTTCAGACGTCATATTTTCCCTGATGGAGAAGTTTTTAGTTTCATGGCCTGCTCTTATTCTGCTCCCAGAATATAATCAGTTATTAATAGAAATTAGGACTCTCAGCACACCCAGGGTCACTAATACTCATTCTGAACCCATAGATCATCCTGCACCTTTTTTCACCACCGTCTCTGAACTCTCCTCTGCTCCTCTGACTCCTGCACCCATCACCTTCGCCGCTGGTCCGCCTGCTGAGCGCCTCGCCGCTGGTGCACCTGCTCCTGTCGCCTCAGAAGACTCAGCATCTGTTCCTGTTTCCTGCCGCTGCCGCCGCCGCAGAAGATCAGTTCCTGCCGCCGCCGCCGCTGCCGCTGCCGCTGCCGCAGAAGAGTCAGTTCCTGCCGCCGCCGCAGAGCCAGGCCTCTTCGCCGTCTGCTGCAGAGCTCCAGGCCTCTCCGCCATCTACTGCAGAGCTCCAGGCCTCTCCGCCGTCTGCTGCAGAGCTCCAGGCCTCCATGACAGCAGCTGCAACCTCCAAGGTCCCCTCGTCTCCTGCTGCAACTTCCAAGGTCCCCTCGTCGCACGCTGCAGCTCTCCAGGCTCCCACGCCGTTTGCTGCAGCTCTCCAGGCTCCCACACCATCTGCTGCAGTTCTCCAGGCTCCCACGCCGTCTGCTGCAGCTCTCCAGGCTCCCACGCTATCTGCTGCAGCTCTCCAGGCTCCCATGCTGTATGCTGCAGCTCCCCAGGACTCTATGATGCAAGCTGCAGCTCCCCAGGACTCTTTGTTTTACACTGCAGTTCTCCAGAGTCCCAAGTCGCACGCTGCAGTTCTCCAGAGCCCCAAGGCGCACGCTGCAGTCCCCAAGGTCTCTTCGCCGCCGGATGCGGCCTCCAAGGCCTCTTCGCCGCCGGATGCGGCCCCCAAGGCCTCTTCGCCGCCAGCTGCGGTCTCCAGGGTCTCTTCGCCGCCAGCTGCGGTCTCCAGGGTCTCTTCGCCACCAGCTGCGACCTCCAGGGTCTCTTCGCCACCTGCCGCGGTCTCCAGGGTCTCTTTGCCGCCTGCCGCGGCCTCCAAGTCGTCATCGCCGCCTGCCACGGCCTCCAAGTCGTCATCGCCGCCTGCCACGGCCTCCAAGTCGTCATCGCCGCCTGCCGCGGCCTCCAAGTCATCATCGCCGCCTGCCACGGCCTCCAAGTCATCATCGCCGCCTGCCGCGGCCTCCAAGTCATCATCGCCACCTGCCGCGGCCTCCAAGTCGTCATCGCCGCCTGCCGCGGCCTCCAAGGTCCTATGTGTTGGACGGCCTCCCGGCCGCCCCCCCTGACCTGGCCCGGCTTGATGGACGGCCTCCCGGCCGCCCCCCTGACCTGGCCCGGCTTGATGGACGGCCTCCCGGCCGCCCGCCGGAACAATGACTCTAGGGACGGTCTCTTGACCGTTCAGATCTTTTGTGTTTTCCTGCTTGTGTTTTGCCTTAGTTTTTGTCAGGTCTTTGTTTTCTTCCTTGTGTTTCCTCGGGCCCTCCACCCTTGCAGTGCCGCCCTCCACCCGCCCAAGTCCTTCGGGAGGGGGGTTTTTTGGGGACGCCTGGGGCGTCCCTGAGGGGGGGTACTGTAAGGATGGTACCATTTGGTGGCTCGGTTTGTGTCTGTGTTTCCCTAGTGTTTTCTCTTTAGTTTAATTGGTGCCACCCTTGTCTCGTCACAGCTGTTTGTAATCACGTCTCGTCTTGTCCCTGTATATAAGCCGTCTGTTCAGTCTTGTTCCTTGTCGCGTCGTACTCGTTGGGTATCCCGTGTTCTCCTGCGTCTCCTGAGTCTTCCCTGAGCTTCCGGAGTCCTTTCTGAGTTTCCCCCCCTGAGCCTTCTATTGCTGTAAGTTTTGCTGCCACGTCAGCTTATTATTTTGTTCTTTATTCGTCATTAAAAATGTTTATTTTTGTAATCTGCCGAGTTGAGTCCTGTCTGCACAACTGGGTTCGTCCCTGACCACAAATCCTGACAGGGAGCGTATATTATGCTCCTACCATTTATCATACTACAAATAAGTCACAGGAAAAACTAAACTATTAGTTATTATTATTAAGCTGCAAACGTGAAGAAACATGCAGCACGTCAAAAACGAAACTTACACCGAAACTGATTCTAGTTCGGTAGAATGGACCCAGTGTTACACCATACTCTGTGACCTGCAACAGTGCAACACCGCCCCCTACGGTCATACGGTGGTCACATAATATGACATCACTATGGATACTCAACGTAACATTTTTAACCTCGATAGATGTCCTAGCAATCGATGTGTAGATTACTCGAGTACTCTGTTAATGCCCTACTACCAATAACAGCATTGTAAGAGGGGGACAGTTGAACACGGAGGCCTCCACCCCTGTTTAATGATGGATGATTTCTTTTCACAAAGATGGCCTCCTTTACTCCTTTCTCAAACCATCATTCTTCTCTATCAAGGATGTGAACATCTTCATCCCTGAAAGAGTGATCGCTGGCCTGGAGATGAGTGTAGACCGCAAAGTCCTGGCCTGATGATGTTGATCTTCTGTGCTGAGCCATCCTTTTGGGCAGTGGCTGTTTAGTTTCCCCGATGTAAGACTGATCACAGCCCTCCTGACGCTGAACAGCATACACAATATTAGTCTCCCGGCACAAACAGAGGGGCAGAGACCTCCGTGTTCAACTGTCCACCTCTTACAATGCTGTTATTGCTAGTATCACTCAGCCCCCTGTGAATAGCAAACAGCCATCAGGGTGGTAATGATCCATCGTTAGGCTGATGGTCCTCCTTGATCACGTGAGCAGCTGGTTGTGGCTGTCAGCAGCAAATTCGTTGATCCACTACGAGAAGGTGCTATTTATAAGACTGAGCTGAATACAGCACCTCAGACTGAAGAAGTCTTTTGGATGAAAGATGAAACGTTTCTACAATTTTTTTGTTTGTTTGTTTTGTTTTTTCTTTAGTGTCCAGATGACCAGATTTAACTTTTTTTAGATTATGCTAGTTATTTACCTTCTATCCACCTTATTCCTGGGGTTCAGCTGTATAAGTAGGCACTTGTCCAAGTGCCTACTTATACTATAAGCGCTGCTGACCGCAGCCTCACTTGATGACGTCATCGTTTTTAAAGACCGCGATTCCTAGCGTTTGCAAAATGCAGATCAGGGTGTCTAACTCTGTATGAAATCGACCAGAAAGGTTGACATTTTGATTTTGGAGAACTGTCAAAACGATCTGAACTGTGCCTGAAAAAATCAGCTCAAAATTCAAAATGTGCTAAATTTTCAAAGTTCACCTTGGGTTTCACATGCAAAATTTGCTACCAGCGTAACTTTGTAGGTGAGTAAAAACGTTTACTTGGTGTAGTTTATGTAATAAATATCATTTTGGCAAAGTTTTATGCCGATCAGAGCTTCCGCACCCCCATTTTGTGATTGTGGGTACAACTTCTTGTCACACAGGAAGCATTGGTTCACCATGGCAGCAGAGCATGGACCACGGTTTATTTGAAAGTAATTTGCATTCAGTTTAACAGATAAAACTCTGTTTTTGTTTTGTTTACATTTATTTAATAACCATAAAGTTTACAAAATGTCCGTGCTGAGTTCAGGTACCTGTTGTGTTTGTGGTTGCAGGAACAACCAGACCAAACTAAATCAGTGGTTACAAAAACAGAGTTTGAACACAGACCCAAAACAAAAAGAGTGTTCCTGTGAAAAGAGCTATAGTTTCATCTCCTACCTACAGATGAGGAATTAAGAAGAATTTGGCTGAAAAATGTGAACTTGAAGAGACCACTCAAAACTCTGTATGTGAGCTCATTTCACTTTGTTGACAAGCGGCCAACAGAGGAAAACCTGCATCCTACTTTGTGTCTGGACTACAATAAACCACCGGCGAAGAGATGCCGGATCCTCAGATGGATTGAAAACAATGTGATGAGAATATCAGGTGTGATTTCAAGTGTATGGAGGACACAGCATTATAGCATTTGTTTGTCTTCTGTTTTATGATTTTCTCTGTAATTAACCCGAACTCAGTGATGGAGGACTTTAAGGCTTTGTCTGGGCTCTGTGTCTGTTTTAAGATAAATAATTTTGTGTTCCACCTCTTTTAATAAAACATCACCGACCTTATTACTGTGTAGATACTGATACACCTCACAGCTTTTCAGGTTGTTCATCACTTCACTGTCAGAAGAATTGAGTGAATGAAGTAGCTAAATATGCTAGTAGATGTAGCTAAATATCTAGTAGATGTAGCTAAATATGCTAGTAGATGTAGCTAAATATGCTAGTAGATGTAGCTAAATATGCTAGAAGATGTAGCTAAATATGCTAGTAGATGTAATTTACAGCCACTTCTTCAGCTCGTCCTCCATCCCTCGTCCTCATCAGGTATGATTATATTGTCCTGTTTGAGCTCTGACCGGTGGTGTTCCTACATGTTTAAATTTAATCCAGTTCTCTGAGAAAATACATTAGCTCTTACTGTTCACACATAAACAAACACTGGTTTTGGTCCATGCCGGAAGTTGTGCCCATAATTCACACAAAACAGCATAGAGGCTAGGAATGAGGTGGATAGGAAATCACTGTGTACTACTAATACAAGAACAGCAAAGGTCAGGAGTCAGGGTGTAAATGATTTAACACAATCAAGGTTTTCAGACTATTCAGGAACTTTGTCTTGAGATGTTAAAGTCACAGCAAGAAGGTCAAAAAGTAGTTTTTTTAATGTTAAACTACTCCTGTCTAGATATCACAGTAACTTGAAAGTAACATGCATAAAAATGCAAGTAACACAATAACATGCATTTTTAATCCTGCTGCTCAATTTTTACCTGTAGAATAGTGAAGTTTTCCAGAACACTGTTCATCATGTATTTCTCAGGGAGGTGTTTAAGTTTGTGGATGAAATTGATCATGTATTCACATAATGGGGATCGGTGGATCCGAAATACATAGCGCCCATTCTCGAAGTGTGCATACTCTGTCTGCAGAAAAATAAACGTATTAAGGTGCACAGTTCAATTATCCGTTATCTAAAAACATATATTATAATAAAAGAGCATTTAAAACACATAAAAAATAGAATATGCTGTCTGGATATATCTACCACATACACTTCAATGGAAACACTGAGTCTACTTGATACGCTGTAATGTGAGTAATGCAATACATCTAATTCATCAAGCTGGATTTAACAATAAACATATTTCTCTTGACAACCCTAATCATATAACACAAACATTAAATATCATCATGAGGTCTACTGAGGCTGATGGCTCTAGTAAGGTATAAATGTGTGTATGTGTATGCATGTGCAGCATGTGTGTGTGTTTGTTTTAATAATGTTCAATCTTTCAGCCGTGTGTGGGGGTAGGGCACTGTGTATAAGTTACCAGGAAATACAGAATGTAGTCAGTCTGTGAATAAGGTTTATTTTTGTTGTTGTATTGTTTTTTTAATCATAAATCAGCTGTAAAGACTGAAATCCACTTCTACCGAAAGCAGCTCTTGACTCAAGAAGGTAATGGTTCTTTACAGGTGATGGTGACAAAAAATTACTATTACATGACCTGATCGGTAAAACAACATCTTGTAAATCATTTGCTGTTTCTAATTGACTGTTGTGCACTGTCAGTTTATTAATTTTTTTCGTATGAACCACAATGACATTTTTGATGTTTGATTTGTTTCACAGAGCATCGTTTGGTCTTGGTCACACTCGAACTAGCTGGTCAATCAGGTCAGAATTAAACTTTCTGACAGGATTTAATGTTTAAATTAAATCCACAATTTAATGGGCATTGGATGGCCATTAGCTGGATCCAGCCATCCAGCTAATGGCTGGTCAATCCGGTCAGAATTAAACTTTCTTAAAACTGAAGCCGAGTCATCTAAAAAAGAAGAAATTAAAACTTTCCTCAGTACCCACTTCAAAATATCTGAACTATCCCTTGAAGAAGTAACTAGTGGCATTAGCAATAGAAATGTATTCACTGAGAAAGAAAAGACAACAGAGGCCGGTCTGTAGACTGATAGTTTGATGATTTGTAGTGACAAATTATGATTTTTGAATATTTATAGTGAGGTTAAAATGAACAATTTTGAAGAATTTATGTATACAGTAGTCCCTCGTTTATCACAGAGGATCTGTACCCTGAAGCTCCGCATTAAGTGAAAAACCACGAAGTAGGAGTACAAGTAGTAGTTTATGGGGTACACCCTGGATGGGTCGCAAGTCCATCACAGGGATACATAGAGACAAACGAGACAAACAACCATTAACTCGCTCACTCACACCTAGGGACAATTTAGTGTTAACAGTCAGCCTAACATACGTTTTGGTATGTGGGAGGAAACCAGAGTACCTGGAGAAAACCCACGTATGCACAGAGAGAACATGCAAACTCCACCCAGAAAGGCCCCCAGACCAGGATTTGAACCAGGGACCTGCTCACTGAGAGGCAGCAGCTCTATCAGTTGCGCCACCGTGCTGCCTTTATATATGTTGCTATAATATATGTTGCCAGTAGTAAGTCGGACCCCTTCAGGGTTGGAGTTAGACTCTGCCAGAGCTGCCCGTTGTCACAGATTCTGCTCATAATTTTTATGGGCAGAATTTCTCGGTGCAGCCAGCGGGCAGAAGGAGTCCATCTCTGCTCTTTGCAGATGATGTGGTCGTGTTGGCGTCATCGTGCCGTGACCTTCATCTCTCACTCTAGCGGTTCACTTCCGAGTGTGAAGCGGTTGGGATGAGAATCAGCACCTCTAAATCTGAGGTCATTGTCCTCAGTTGGAAAAGGGTGGATTGCTCTCTTCAGCTTGAAGGTGAGGTTCTGCCTCAAGTGGAGGAGTTCAAGTATCTCGGGGTTTTGTTCATAAGTGAGGGAAGAATGAAGCATGAGATTGACAGATCGATTGGTGCAGCGTCTGAGGTATTGTGGACTCTGTGCCGGTCTGTTGTGGTGAAGAGACAGCTGAGTTGTAAAGCAAAGCTCTCTGTTTACCGGTCGGTCTACGTTCCTACTCTCACCTATGCTCATGAACTCTGGGTAGTGACTGAAAGAATGAGATAGTGGATACAGGCGGTTGAAATGAGTTTCCTCTACAGGGTAGCTGGACTCTCCCTTAGAGATAGGGTAAGAAGTTATTTTAGATCCTAATTGTTGGTATTTTTATATTCTCTGTTATTTTTTTAATAATTATGTTATTCCCTCCTGTATGTTCTTTGTACTGAAACTCTGGCACAACAATTTCCTGTGGGATCAATACATTTCTATCTTATCTTATCTCATTTTATCTTAAGTTCAGGCAGCACGGTGGCACAATTGGTAGAGCTGCTGCCTCTGAGTGAGCAGGTTACCCTGGTTCAAATCCCAGTCCAGGGGCTTTTCTGGGTGGAGTTTGCATGTTCTCTCCGTGTGTGTGGGGGTTTTCTCTGAGTACACCGGTTTCCTCCCACAGACCAAAAACATGCATGTTAGGATGATTGGTAACTCTAAATTGTCTCTAGGTGTGAGAGAGAGAGAGCGAATGGTTGTTTGTCTCGTTTGTCTCTATGTGTCCCTGTGATGGACTTACGGCCTGTCCAGCATGTACCCCGCCTCTCGCATGGTGGTTACTGGACATGGGCACCGGCGGCCCCCGTGACCCAAGAAGGAAGAAGCAGGTAAAAATAAAGGATGGATGGATGTATATCTTAAGTTCAGTTATCTGGGAGAAACTCAGAGTAAAACGGCTGCTCCTCCAAATCGAGATGAGCCAGTTGAGGTGGTTCGGACAACTGGAAAGGATGCTTCCTGGGCACCTCCCTAGGGAGGTGCTTTGTGCATGTCTGACTGGGAGGAGACCCCGGGGAAGACCCAGGACATGCTGGAGAGACTATGTCTCTCAGTTGGCCTGGGAACAACTTGGTGTTCCCAGAAGAGCTGGAAGAGGAGGCTGTGGAAGGCGATGTCTGGACCTCCCTGCTCAAGATGCTGCCCCCGCAACCTGACTTCGGAACAAGCAATAACAATTCAGAAGAGCTGAAGGCCACGATCAGAGCAACCTGGGCTCTCATAACACCTGAGCAGTGCCACAGACTGATCGACTCCATGCCACGCCGCATTGCTGCAGTAATCCAGGCAAAAAGAGCCTCAACTAAGTATTGAGTGCTGTACATGCTCATACTTTTCAGTTGGTCAACATTTCTAAAAATCTTTTTTTTAATCGGTCTTAAGTAATACTCTAATTTTCTGAGATACTGAATTTGGGGTTTTCATTAGTTGTCATTTATAATCATCAAAATTAAAAGAATTAGATTAAAAGAATCTTTGTGAAAAGAAACCGTCTATCATTAAACAGGGGTGGAGGCCTCCATGTTCAACTGTCCCCCTCTTACAGTGCTGTTATTGCTAGTACCACTCAGCCCCCTTTGAATAGCAAACAGCCATCAGTGTGCTAATGATCCATCGTTAGGCTGATGGTCCTCCTTGATTATGTGAGCAGCTGGTTTGGCAGTCAGCACGTGCACATGTGTGCGCACATAAAAAAAGGTGTTCACTTTAGTGAACAAAAAAGCAGCATTTCACCTAGATTTCCTTTAATTCCACACATTTAAAACTTGTTTCTCACCAAGTTTGTGTAAATTCATCTGTGGATTTTAAAGACATTTTAACTTTAATACACTTTAATACAAAGCGTCAGATCGGCACTATTTGTCTTTATAGAGAAATAAAAAACATCACCACTGGACTTTCTTTACTTGTGTTCAACACTACTCATCTAAATGATGTTTCTCATGAAACTTGAGGACAATAAGGTGTGGGATTTTAAAGACATTTCAATTTTAATGCAGCTGAACACACAGTCTCTTACACCTGCAGCGTCTGACAGCGTCACAGTTACAGCTCACATGCTACAGATGTAGCTCCTCTCAAGCATCCTCCTAACATGAATATATGTTTATGATCAACCCCCTGGTCAACCACTGCCCGCACTAAGCTGCTAAACTGGCGAGCGAGTAACACAGGTACCTCCACCTCCTCCACCTGTGCGCGTTTTCTGCCGAGGCAAGAGGCAGGTGGAGACGGTGGAGAGTTGGAGGTAACCAGGAAAATCTGGAGTGGAGTTTTAGTAGCTTGAATATTATCCTATTAATCAAGTGGAATGGATTCGTTCACGAAGAAAGAGAAACTGCGCCGCCTGAACTAATGTTTTATAGTAAAAGTGGGGGGTCCAAATGAGCGTTTTTTTTTTATGTGGGGGGGACTTGTCCCCTTCACATATAATGGTTGCGCTGCCTATGCTGTGTGTAATGAATGAATATAAAATATAAGTTTCACTTTTTGAATGGAATTACTGAAATATATCAACTTTTTCATGATTTTCTAATTTTATGACTAGCACCTGTGTATATAAATTTTTTCTATTATTTATCCTACACACACGTGTGCGTGTGTGTGTATGTGTGTTGGGGGGGGGGGGTCTTCATCCCAATCATGTGCACATGGTCATTTTTAAAAAGCAAAAACTGAAAACAGGCAGTCATAACGAGGCTGCTAAGACGAGAGCTTGTTAAGCTGCTTTCTTTCAGAGTAACAGTTTATTGTTATACTGATGAGATATATTCATTATCTCTGTATGAGTAAGGAATGAAAAACACACACATGAGCATGAATGTAAGTTGGTCTTCTTGTTGTATTTGGAGCAGTGGCTGATAGGTGGATTGGAGACAGGGCAAGACGGGACTCAAGGTGGTGGAAAATTAGAAGCATATTCAAATAATTACCAACCAAATCAAAGAGAATATGCACTTGATATACCTAACCCTATTTAACTCTGACAATTTGTATTATAAAAAAGACTTGACTTACCTCCACTTTCTCCACCACCTGTTTGCCAAAGGAGCAGACCTTGGTGGATGAGGTAATGATCATGTTCTCAGAGCTCTCATACTGGCTGGACACGCCATAAAAAAAGCTGCTGTCATCCTGTAGGTTCACACTCAGGTCCGCCTTCAAGGAAGAAACAGATAATGGGATCAACCAAACAAAATGTGTTTTAACCTGCTGTCCTGTCAGTTTACCTTGTCTACAGTTCATGTTGCATTTAAGTTTCAGTCATTTTTTTCACATTTTTTTTTAATTTTCCACTCACTTTTTTATGTTAAAACCTTTTGAAAATTATTCAACACTTCGTTGGATACTTTACTGTTTTAGAGAAACTAAATGAGCAGCACTACAGATTATAGGATCTGATATTTTTGGGAGAAGCACCTGTGTGTCCTGCTTTACCTGCTATAAATCAATCAGTAACCTATTTACTGGACCTTACAGACCTGTGTGGATTAAGCATGTTTTCTCAAAGAGGGTCATCAGATATCACCTGATGCCAGGAAAACAAAGATCTATCCAAAAAAGTTCAATCTGTATGTTGAGGGGGTATCAGAGAAAGTGAGACGTTTATTTTCTAAACATAACGTCCCAGTGGCTTTTAAACCCCAAAATACATTACGGCAAAGACTGGTTCATCCCAAAGATCCAGTCCCCCGGCACAAACAGAGTAATGTTGTGTATGCTGTTCAGTGTCAGGAGGGCTGTGATCAGTCTTACATCGGGGAAACTAAACAGCCACTGGCCAAAAGGATGGCCCAGCACAGAAGATCAACATCATCAGGCCAGGACTCTGCGGTCTACACTCATCTCCAGGCCAGCGGTCACTCTTTCAAGGATGAAGATGTGCACATCCTGGACAGAGAGGAACGATGGTTTGAGAGAGGAGTAAAGGAGGCCATCTTTGTGAAAAGAAATCGTCCATCATTAAACAGGGGTGGAGGCCTCCGGGTTCAACTGTCCCCCTCTTACAATGCTGTGATTGCTAGTATCACTCAGCCCTCTGTGAGTAGTAAACAGCCATCGGTGTGCTAATGACCCATTGTTAGGCTGATGGTCCTTCTTGAGCATGTGATCAGCTGGTTTTGGTTGTCAGCAGCAAACTGGTTGATCCACTCTGAGAAGGTGCTATTTAAGAGACTGAGCTGAAAACAGCACCTCAGACTGAGGAAGTCTCTTGGATGAGAGACGAAACGTTTCTAGATTTTTTTGCTTTGTTTTGTTTTTTGTTTTTTTGAATGTCCAGAGGACCAGATGAAACTTTTTTGGATTTTTCTACCTGGATTATTGAGCATGCATCAGGATAAAGTAATATCTACTTCTATTTAACTTTTTTTTTTGGTTTGTTTAAACATGCAGGCTTCCACTGCTTACTCTTTGCAGCTGTTATTTATCACATTCACATCTGAATGAATATATTAGAAATAGCAATTATTAAAAACAAAATCACAAAGGGTTAGGGTACTCACTGAATGATTTGTTTAGTGTAGGGTAGATTTTTGTCACATTTACCTCAATTCAATTTAAGTGTTTTAGGTTTAAATTGTTAAAGAATGGACAAAATAATGTTGATCTTGGGTCCTTAGTAATTCCAGTTCATGTGTAGAAAAAGGAATTTGCATTGTTTTTGTGGGAATGCATGCATGCATTTGGCTGTTTGTTTTAGATATGAATGTACAAATTCCAAACAATTGCAAAACAAGATTTTGGTACATTTGGTACTTTATGTGATTAGGTGTTTTTACAATAGAAACATGTTCAAATATATATTAAAGGTCTTAACGTTCTACAACAAAAAATCACCCTTACAAGTTTAATTTAAAGGTAGCCAAAAGTGTGACCCCCACACATGTGGATGTGGATGGAAGCATATTGACCCCCCTCTTATCCTCCCCCTGGTTAAACTTTGAATTGAGATAATCAGATTTTGGAACAGACAGGTAAAATCTCCTCTGTCAGACAGCTGGGCTGTTTTACCATTTACCCTGTTGGGCTCTTGTCTTCTAATAGGCCATTGAGACACCGCTCAGCCTCCTTCATGCCTTCAGCTTCCCTTTTGTCTTCATCTCGCGCTCATGTAATTTCTCTATTTGTCTTCATCCCTGGGGCCTAGTGGCCCTCCCCAAACTGCCATTCCCTGCTTCCTTAACAGCCTGCGAGGGAATTCATCCAATTACAATATCAGCGTGCAATTGGTTGATTAGATCATGGCGGGCAGGCTGGCTGTGTAACAATTTAGCAGAGCCACTTCAAATCGGATTCCCCCTGCACTTCAAAGGCGTGAGACAATCCATTAGGACAGGGCCACAGGCGCTGAAGGAGAGAGGAGGGAAGGCGGGGCAGCCAGTGGCTAACAGATGGGGGGAGTGGGGGCTTTGCTGGAAATTTAATCTAGAATACCATAGCTTTGGAGGAGGGTCAGCCGCCTGTCACTGTCACCATGCCAACCTGCGCCATAGCACACACCTCGAGTCATAACCTGCCCTCTGGAAGCAGCAACATCAAATCCACTTCTCACTTCTTTTATAAGGAATTATATGAATTTGTAGCACTTTTAGGTTTGGCAAAGATTTTAAAGGCTAAGAATATTGCAGCATTTTTCCCCATGGTGTCAAAATGTCCTGGTGTTTACTAGCATTTGTGTCTTTTGTCATGGATGCCTTGACAACTGGACGACCCCCTCGGGATATGAAAAGATGAACAAACCAAGGAGGGACAGTGTCATGAGCTTGTTTTTTCATCTGGCACAGAGCTGCACATGTCATAACCATTGACTCCACCAGGCTCTGACATGAATTAAGAGGGTACTATTTCACTGATGAACGACTTGTTGGTGACATGTCACCCAGAATTTCTCCTGCAATCTGTATCTCTTGCTCTCACTGTCTGTGTCCCTATTTCTATCTGCTGCTCTCCATTACTGCCTTGTGCGGGTACTCGTGCCCTCCTTTACCTCACCCTGGAATTGAATACCGTGGTTTGACCAGCTGCTCTTCCCAAGGACTGGAGAAGGCCCTTTCCAACATAGCACCATTCACCAATGTCTTTTATCTTTTTACAATAAATAACGTGGATGTCAAGCATGTGAGCAGGGTAATGCCACACACACCCATTTAGTGGTATGAGAAGCAAGGCGGCACTTTGAACTTGACATTCATAGAGTCCACTGTTCCAAACCATAGTAGTAAAAACTATATTTTACCATTGTGTAAATAAGCCCAATCACTTTTTTTCACTCTTTCAGTCACTTTCACCTTTCACTAGGCCTTTAATGGCAAGAAATATACCACGATAATAAAAAGGGTTCACCTGGAGTGTATATGATTGTTTCTACTATGCACAATATTATCGGCATGGTTTTGGTATCGGACAATATTAGCAAAAAAGTTAAATATTAGACATCAACCATGCCATCAAAAAAACTCACCGATATTCGCTTGTGAACAGGTTGAGTTTAGATTTGTGAAAATTAAAAAATTTGCACTGTTCTCAGTGTTGTCATTGTGTTAAGAGAGAGTAAATGGCATGAAGAAATTTGACATTAAACATAATCCAAGTTAAAGTGTTACATAATTTTCTGCCCCTTTTGGCATCTGCATTTGGTAGCAGGCCACACTGACAATGACCATGCAGAATAATGTAGTATTTTAATTCCACAGCAGAGAAAGCTATGTAGTCTCTGAAAGTAGGTCTAGGAAAATAAACATTGGTATCCGTTATCAGCCTAATAAGTTTTAACATATCGGCATATCGGATATTGGCCAAAAATCCAATATTGCGCATCCCTGGTTTATACCTATTCTCAGACTGTCGTACATAGTCCCCAAGCTCTTTTGAGTTGAAATGATGTCCTAATGACCAAGAAACTTCCAAAAATGACTAGCTTGAAATTGAGCTAAACTTTTAGTAGACATCTATAATCAAATTTACACATTAAATCAAAATCTATATTTATGGGCAAGAAAATAATGAGCACTGTCCATTTGGAGAATCAAACTCAAGATTTCTTAAAAAAAAAAAAAAAAAAAAAGAAGTTAAGTCTGGTCCTCTAGACATTCAAAACACAAAACAAACCAAAAAAACAAAAACTAAAAAAAAAAAAAAAAGAAATGTTTTGTCTTTCATCTGAAATACTTCTTCAGTCTGAGGTGCTGTATTCAGCTCAGTCTTATAAATATCACCTTCTCACAGTGGATCAACCAGCTTGCTGCTGACAGCTGTAAAGACGCTCTTATCTGCTGTGCTGTGTTGCTCGATGTGTCACAACTTTTTCTTGTCCTTTATTTATATCGGTTTGGCTTTTGGATCTGCTTGTCTTTTGGTATCAACAAGTACAGATTGAACTAATTCAGAGAGAGTCAGATACTGGAGAAGGACGATTGGTAACCAGAGAATTGGACATCAACACGGGTTGTTCAGTGCAGTTCCACAGGCCAGCAAACAGGTAAGAGGAGCAATATTTATCCTCTCTATGGCGTTGCACTGAGTGATCGTGTTGTAAAATATTTTTGTCAGTAGAGATTGAGTGTAATTTTTTTTTTTAAGTAATATATCGGTTGTAAGCTTGTACAAGGATTAGAAAATACAAGTTGTGATTAAAAGAGGCAGGTCGGGGACCTGGGCTAGGGGTCTGGGACCCCTGTGTGAGTCAACAAAGTCGGGGACTTCTGTCAGTCGGGAGTGGCACCCCAAACTTCTTCCCGGACGCAGGGGAATGTAGCCAGGTTGGATTGGGTTTTCCTATGGAACGTGACTGCCCACAAATAAGAACAAGAGTTGACCACACATGTGTGAGAACTGTCAGAGAAACTTAAATGGTGATGACAGGTTCCGATGATTATTGAAGTGTATTTTTTTGAACTGTCAGAGAAACTTAATGGTGATGACAGGTTCCGTTGATTATTGAAGTGTATTTTTTTTGATGAACTGTCAGTGAAACTTAAATGGTGATGACAGGTTCTGATGATTATTGAAGAAAAAGTGTATTTTTTGATTGTGAGAAACAAACTGAAAGATGTTCAAAACGAGATCGGATGAGAGAGAGTGACTGAAGTGAGTGAAAGAGCTGCGCAGCAAGAGTGTGGGTGTGTGTGTGTTTGAGGAGAAGCTCTTTGCGGTGTGAT